CTCTCTCTCTCTCTCTCTCTCTCTCCTCTCTCTCTCTCTCTCTCTCTTCTATCTCTCTCTCTCTCTCGCTCTTCTCTCTCTCTCTCTCTATTCTCTCTCTCTCTCTCTCTCTCTCCTCTCTCTCTCTCTCTCTCTCCTCTCTCTCTCTCTCTCCTCTCTCTCTCTCTCTCTCTCTCTCTCTCTCTCTATCTCTCTTCTCTCTCTCTCTCTCTCCTCTCTCTCTCTCTCTCTCTCTCAAACTAAGATAATTATGCCATTACTGAACCTGTCCCTTCCCTTGCTTTTCAAATTAAGATGACTGTGTAATAATGCCCATGCTGGCTGTGTCTGGTCAGGATAATAAATTATATACAAATATAATCATTTCAGTACGTTCTTGTCACTTTGTGGTGCATTTACTCAGCTGACCATGATCAATATGTGTTGATTACAGCCTGGTGAGACTGCCCAGCTGCCTGCCATGGGTGGGGACACCCCTGTGGACCGCTCGTACATAGTGGCCAAGTACCTGGCGCCGACGATCCACGTGTCGCTGATCGGCTCTCTGACGGCCGTCACGGTGCTGCTGCGCCTGCTGGACGGCGAGTCGGTGTGGTTCTGCTTCCTGTTCCCGGCGCTGATCGCTGCCAACTGGGCCCAGTTCATGCGCCACCCGAGCTTCGTGCAGCTGTCGGACCGGCCCGAGAACGACGTCAGTCGGTACCCGCAGCGCGCGCCGGCCGAGTGCGCCACCATCCGACCCACGGCCGCCGACGTGCACGAGCGGCTCATGGACCCGGCGCCGCGCTACCAGATCGCCGACGGCGTCCACTTTTGCCGCCGGTGCGCGTTCCACGTGCCGGCTTGCTCGCACCACTGCCCGCTGTGCCGCCACTGCATCCGGCTGCGCGACCACCACTGCTTCTTCCTGGGCGCCTGCGTGGGCCGCGACAACATGGTCTACTTCGTGTCGTTCTGCCTGCACGCGTGTCTGGGCTGCGCGGTGGCCGCCTGGACGCTGGGCGGCCACCTGCACGCGGCGCACCTTCCGCTGAACACGGTGCACGGGGCGGTGAACTTCCTGCCGCCGGCGGCGGTGGCCAGCTGGGTGCTGGGCACGGTCAGCGGCCTGGCCGTCGGCTACCTGGTGCTGCTCTACCTGGCCGTCACCACCTGCCTGGGCACCGGCTTCATGTTCGGCTACCACATGGCGCTGCTGGCGTCCGGCCAGGTGGCGCACATGTGGTCGGTGACGCCGCGCCTGGAGGTGTCGCCGCGCGCCGGACAGCACTGCCGGCGCATGTTCGGCCGCCACGGCCTGCTGCAGCTGCTGCTGCCGCTCGACCGGCGACCCTACCCGAGCCTCGACCGCGACGACTTCGGCCTGGAGGAGATCAAGGTGCTCTGAGTGGTCGGACTCCGGAGGATCGGTGTCACCGGGAGCGGAGGCCAGCACCAGGTCAGGGTATGGGCATTACGGGACGGGTCGCCTATTACAAACCTAAGAGCGGTATATACCCATGCTGATGCATAACATAACACATTTTCTGCTGAATCTTCAGCCTATGTTATGCTCAAGAGTAGTATTATCTTATCCCTCTCGCATCTCATTCGTGTCTAATGGGCAGGTTATAAAAAGTGCCTATCAAATATCTATAGATCAGCGCACGGTCCATTTTAGATACGCGTTTGCTGAAAGCGGAGGAGAGTAAATGCGGGATTATATGTCTTATTCCTAGATGCGACAGCCTGTATAGCGACCATAAAAGTGTACGAGGTCGGTTCCTGTCGGGGAAGAGTCACGCGATAGACTCAGGGGGCAGCGATCGCTTGGACTTCCGCCAGGCTCTAAGGGCTGCTAAATGCTCGCCGTCATACGGCAATGAATAGCATAACGACCGTCTGCGCTCAAATTGGGGCTTATCCGCTAAATTCTCTTCCTTTTTTACCTGACATCCGCTATTCGCCCTTGGTTGATTATGCTTCGATTTAGAACATCATTCACGGCTTTACTGCCTATTCCAATAATTGTATCGTTAGGAGGTACTTTGATACGATTTGTTTCGCAGATAACAGATGCATTTCACATTGTCATGTTGGTATGACGTCATTCAAGCTGTCTTTTTCACACAATACGAAAGTTCACGTAGCTCAAGCTTATGGTTTGTCGTGCACATTCTGGTGACACGCCGTTGTGTAGCGTGATAACGGGGACCGGCGCGGCTAGTTTTAGCTCTTAGACTTTGAGGTTTGATCGCTTGGTATGCTCTTCGGAGGTAGATTTAGCGCAGTTCTACAGCATAGTGCTAGGTAAGGATGGAGCTGTTGTTATCGTTTTGTATGGAGTGCATTGTTTGATTTATCGCAGAGCTAAAGACCGACAATCTTATTCTACCTGTTGCTATTTCACTTCTTTTTAGTCATTCCAGCCCATGCTGTCTTCCCTGTTTTGTCTTGCTTGTCTATTGCTACCTGGTGAACATTTTGTTTATGCATTGGGCTCTATTTTATGAACTATAGTTAGTAGTTACAAATGTTAGTAATATGAGGAACGTTCTTTGTTCATCATAACTAACACGTTGGCACAACAGTCAAATGTCGCGATACCTAATACTCTTAGTACTTATTCGTACACTTTTAACTTGCCTCATGAACCTATCGGTCAATTTCCTGTTATTGCTCGGATTTTGACCTAATCATTTTTTACATTCTTTTAAGCTTTTTTTACTAAGCATACCAATATGTCTTTTGATGCTTGCTCTTCATCTTGCTTCATTTTATATTTTCTTTTATATTTTGTGTTTTTTTTCTACTGTAATCCAATAGGATTACAGTAGAATCACCATAGATGGTGCTTGTGTTGCATTATTAATTAAAATGTGTGAAATCCAAACGGCTCAAGCGATCTGCTGATTCAGTTACGAGCTTAATTCGAGGGGCTATTCTCATCCGGGACATGCCGGATGCGCGTAACATGCATAGTCACCGCTTGCTAGTCTTCGTTTAGTATCGGTATCGTCCATGCCATGTTTAGTTAGGTACGCCGCTAGCTTATTTTTTATACCATCTGACAGTGGCCTGGCCAGTGGCCAGCTCGCTCAGTATCGCGGTTAATGTGACCTGTTGGGACGGGTTAATGGCTACGTCCATGTATTTTCATTGTTGCTTTTGTGATGTGTTTGTGGTCCATATGTACACACGGCATTAATTTCAACGCTAGCCACATGTCGCTCTTATTCATTTACATTCTGTACCGCTCATTGCATTTTTTCTTTTTGCTAACATGCTAAATCCTCATTTCCGAAACATCGACTCTGACAACGATATATGCATGTAGCTAGACAGGCTCGTTACTGTAATCCAGTTACTGGCTATGTCACATGCGTTCAACGCTGATGTGTTCTTCCTTTTACTCACACGATTCTTTGTCGATAGTTGCTAGCTTGGTTGCTAGCATCAATGCTCCTGTGTTTTCTGCTCGTGTTATAGCACAATCAATTATTCCGGGACATGAAATGCGTGCGTTTGTGCGTGCTGTCCAACATGAGCTGTATCAGTCTTATGATGTTCTGTCTGGCTCAGAATGCTCCGTCCATGACGTGATAAAGCTTGACGTGCAGTGATTTGATGTGATAACTTTAATCTGTGAGCATTCTGTCGTGCCGTATATCGGCCTCGCCAGTCTATCCGGGCTGATGTGGTGTTCTAGATTACAACGATGCTCTTCGCTACTTATCTCCTATCGTTATTGTGCTTTGCCTTTCATCTCGACTTCGCACTAACTGAATTTTACGCATCGTTTGTGCAATGTGCAATGTGAATTGTGTGTCCTATCGTTGCTGTATGTATTTGTGTGACATCAAGTCCAATAAATCAATCATAACATTCCACTTAGTTCTTTGATTATAAGTTTTGATAAATATCCATTGGCAGTTGAGCTCTCGACGAATGATCTCGCGACGTAGATAAGCCGATACACAATTGCGGCGAGCATGTTGATTTCGTAAGCCGATAAGCCATGCATTCAGTGTTGAAGCTCCACTCCATTGTAGTCGATTTTCGGTAAAAACAATCAATTCGGTCACACATTTCCGATATATTTGTGAATGGCACGCTCACAGACATGTCTCTAACGCAGCACGACCAGTCCAGCGAACTGTATCCCGATGACCCGTCGTCAATTATAAAACATTAGTATTGCTCGGTTTTGAATGTTATTTGTTTCCAATTGGAACTGTATTTAGGCGCTTGACTGAGACCGTCCCCACCCCCACCCCCGTGCGCAATATTTACTGCCCCGGCATCGTGTGTTCTTGGCTCCAGTTCGAATCTGCCCGTTTGCCCAATGGTAAGAATTCAGAGAGGGCAGCAGGGTTCCACCCATCATCACCCGTGGTCATCTTACACACTAGTCAACAATCGGCATTTGAGCACGATAATATCTGAACAATGCCCGAGTCGGTCGCTGGTCAGACTGGCCGTCAATCTCACTCGTCCGGTCGATGGAATTATCTCGACACCGGGACGGATAAGGGCATGCAATCATCCCTGTCGAAGTCCATAACACCTCATTCACTTATCTCATCTTCATCCCATCAGTCACTCACCAGTCAGTCGTATGCATCCGTCGGCCAGCCGCCATGTTCATAGGTCATCCGTGTCACTCGCACATGTCAGTCCGTCAGAGTCGGGGTCGCTCAGTCGAAGGTGTCGGGCCGGTCGGGGTCCGTAAGTCGAGTGAAGCCGGCCGGCTGGTCGGGGTCCCTCAGACGATGGTGTCCGGTTTCCGCACATAGAGCAGCTCGTGGTACTCGCAGACGGCCCGCTGCGGGTCCATTTCCGGCAGCGGCTTGCAGTGTCCCTCTCGGTCGGGGCGGCTGCTGACCAGCCGCAGCCCGCTGTGCTCCAGGCCGACCAGCACCTCGTACTGCCGGCGCAGTACGTCGTGACGCTCCCGGCCGGTCAGATCGTGCACGATGGCCGACACATGCACAGCCAGCTGCTGCACAGAGTCCAGCACGCGCGTGGTCATCATCTTGCGCAGCGCCGACCACTCTTCGCCGTCCTCCAGGTCCAGTTTGAGGTAGTCGACGCGCCGGCCGCGGTGGCCGAAGGCGCGCATCACCTCGGGAAGCGTCATGACGCGGTCGCCGGGCAGCGCCGCCGAGTCGTTACCGGCCAGACGCACGCGGTACAGGAACGAGCGCTCACCGCGACGGTGGTCTGAGCGCGCGCCACTCGCGTCGAACGTGTACACCTGAGGGCAGGGGCGGAGAGACGTGTCAGTGGCGACGGACGGAGGCGGGGGCGGTCAGCGGGATCTTATAGCGCACATTTCTAGAAATACGAGTACATTTACAATGTTTATACTGTATGATAAAGTTAGTTTGCCTCATCCCCGACGCCGTCACAACAGTGCGTATTCCGTGATAGGCGACTCACGTGACATCCGAAGTTGATCATGGCCTCCTCGAACGAGTTGGACTGCATTCCGAACGAGTAGACGAGGCAGTTCTCGTGGTCCAGGTTCAGGCTGGGGTCGAAACACACCACGTGGTCCTCTATTTCGTGGCAGGCGCGTCCACCTGATGAGAACCGAATCATAGAGGGTCAGCAGTCAGCACGCGCGCCGGGAGCTCCTGAGCCTGGCGGTCTCATGAAGGTTAGGATGTGGAGCTTCCAGTTCAGGGACGGGGGACACTGGCGGGGTGAATTTGGTTTCATCGTGTATCGCATGGTTCCCCACACCAAGCGACCTTCTCTCTCTGCCCCCTTTTCGTACCGAGAAGGGCGTATGCCGAGCACGAGGAGCCCGGGTGCTCGACGTAGTCGTAAAAGTCCTTTACGTCGGTGAGTTCGTGCTTGGGCACCTTCCACTTGGAGGTCTTGAAGTGTTTGATCATCTCCTGGCTGGATATTTGAAACGAACCGTCTTCGGCGAACACCTGAAAAGGCGATATCTCGTTAATAAATCGAAGTACGACCATCAATCACATTTAGCAGTTTGAGTCTAGGCCACCGTTTGCATTATTAGATTAAAAAATTCCGGAGGTTAGTAACAAGCATCGACATTCCGTTAATTCGGTTAAATGCGAGGGCCTAATAACACGTATTGGTGTGATGTATCTCCTTCGTACAAACTGCAACAACGACAGATGAAGAAAGCATAACGGCCGGCAAAACATATAGCAAAGGACTTCCCCGCTGTCTGGTCGGTGCCGGCCGACCGGCGGACGTGAGGTCATCCCACACTGACATTTGTAACGTCATCCTGCACTGACCGGCGTCCTGTCGTGGTGCGTCGGCATGATGACCATCATCAGGAACAGCACGCCCACGATAACGGCCGTGTTCCTGCCGAGCGTCTTCCAGCTCCGCTTGTTCAGACCCAGCACCAACTCCATGTTCTGTAGAACGGCCACTGGGTCAGTGCGACGGTCGCAAGGCTATAAAGACGGTCGTGAGGGGGACGGATATGTTGTGAACACGATAGATGAAAGCAGACAACCTCACAAACCAATCATTGCTTTTTGCTCCCGACATGTGAAACAAGATCGCCATCGCCACTCAAACCAAGATCAATGAATGGTACCGCCGCAGCTCCATTTCGATTTACTCGCGTAGGTATTTGTAAACAGGCGTCATTATTCCGCGGAGGACAGCGCTAGTTTTGTGTGCCGCGTTGAGCTCGCTCGATACTGCTACATGCCGCATCGCAGTCTCCGGGGTAGCGCCCGCGATATCGCAAGGAATCTGCACTGTTTTGCGAGTTTTGCGAGTTTTGAAGTTTGAACCTTTTCACTGTTCGCAGCATTCACATTATAACCATTGTTTTTTAGTGTGAACGGAATTGCTTATTCAAAAGTCATATATCATAAAACTTTCTTTCGTAATGAAACGGTCAAAATAGTACGGTTTCGTCACCAGTAGTCACAAAGACGCCTACACGGGGTCATTACGAGGAGAAGAATTTATGTCTGCGTGCGGTTACGACTGAAAAGGACATAATTGTGCCAAAATGAATAACTTTCACACTTGAAAGTCTTGCAAATTAATTGCGCAAATAAAAAACTTAACTCGTATAATATTATTAAAATATAACGAGTTTGTCCCTACTTTGAACCTCGCAAGGGAGCAGCGATTTCCCGCAATCCGTCGACCGAATGGGACGTCAGCGCGGCGGACCGTTTGGCTTACGTGGCACAACCGCATAGCGGTCACGGCGACGAGCAATGCGATCACTTATGATTTCCACTTCCTACTGACCTCACCACTCGACCGCTGACCTGGGTGGATAGTAACACTGCCATTCCTCCCTCCCAGTCCCCCTCTCACCTCGATTTGTGCAGCTCCGTGCCCCGTTGAGCGGTGCCGCGTCCCCCCGTCCTCCTCTCGCTCCGTCCGCCGTCTCTCCCTCCCTCCTCTTCCCGGCCGGTGCCTCCGCGCCCCGCGGGTCAGTGACCCGACCGCCCAGCATCCACGGCGCATGCGCACTGGGTCGCCGCCGGCCGACCGCAGCTCATCGGGCAGTCGCGGACCGCCTCAGGGCAAACGGAGCGGGACTGGACGGATCGCGGCCGGGGCGGGATGGGACACGGGGCGGGGCGGTGGGAGCTCAAACTCATATCGGAGGATATGATTATGGACGATTCGATGGGCCTTGAGCGGAGGGAAAGGGGATGTGACATACAACTCATAAGAGTCAGGAGATTTCCCGGAAAGGATGTGCGAGAAGTGTTATAAAGGACGACAAGGTCAGGATCGTTAAGCATCATGAATTCCAAAATGTGTTACGCAAATCGCAAGCCCGCACGCTGATAAGTGATTAGCGCATCACACAAAACGATTTTTTTAATAGCTCACAAGACGGCGGAATACCAAAAATAGACGGTTCCTAATTTTCATTTTATTACAAAAAGTGTGTTCTGCTCGTGAAGAGCCTTGACTAGTGCCGGCTGGTAATGTAACGACGACTTACAAAGTAACGACCACTGACCAAGCTCCCCGCCCCGGGGCTACCGTCCGGCTCCTTGAACGGAGTTTACGGCCCCGCCGCGCCGGTGGACGCATATCACAGCCCAACCCCTAAATAACACGCTGGCACGAACACAACGCTACAAACTAAATGTCGCCAAACACGGTGGTACAAACGTAATATCTCAACACAGTCCGGTAGAAAAGGAACGTTTCGATACAAAACAGCACGAGAGTAATGTTTCAACACCGCACAAGGCGTCACAGCAAGCGACGGAACCGCACAGTGCGCACCTACGACACGCTGTCACCTGTCGACGGCACCCGTACCCGCCCCGTGGCCCCGTCACCGCACAGAGCTGCTGGCCCGACGCCATTTGTACTCTCCGGGAGTGTTGTTTGCTAAGTCTTCTTCTGGCAGCGCCCCGCCTCCCCCAGGCAGCAGTCTTCTCGTTTACTCGGCGACGGCCGCTGTCTGCCGCTGCGGCCCCCGGTCCCGCCTCCCCGCCAGCCCCCTCCTCAGGAATCCGGGGCCGCCGCGCTCGTCCCCGCACTGCTCCCACGCTGCACGTCTCCACTGCCCGTCGGGCCCTGCCCCTCATCACCCGGCCCACCGGGGCCGCCGCTCTTCGGCGCCACCTTCCGAACGCGGCCGCGGGCCGGCGGCGCCGCGCGCCCCGCGTTCTGGTCGTCCCCCGACCCAGTCCCTCGCTCTCCGCCATCCGCCGGCGGCTGGCCGGCCGTACCTTTCGTGGCGGCCAACGGGTACGCTCTGAACTTGCAGACGGGGTTCGTTCGGCCCGGGCCCCGGTAGTTGAAGTCTGTGAAGCATTTGTCGCAGAAGAACGTCGGGTTGGTTGGCGTGAGCTCGTGGTCCATGGTCAGCCATCTAAAAACAGAGCAGAAAAAACGGAGAGCTGTAAATGGACTGACTGGATGACTTATAACCAAAAGACACACTATCGAAACCAGCGACCGTTAAGATGATTCAATAAATTAACGCACTTTCTTAGCAATGCTATATTATGCATGGTAATGCGCACGTTCGATCGGTAAATTTCGGGTATACTAGATGATGAGTCGAATGCCGTAATCGCTGCACGCGCTCCTCGCATCCGCAGTGCTACACTGTCGCCCCCGTCTGTCGCCGCTCCCCAACGGACCTGGGTATGTCGCGGTCGCAGAGATGGCACTCCCTGGCCTCCTGCCGCCGCCGTATGGCCACCGTCCGGGGGTAGCAGCGTTGGACCGAGTCCACACCGGGCCGGAACAGGCTGCACGGGGGCGGGGACGGGGTCACAGTGCGGCACGATAAACGGTACTGGTACAGAGTGAATGGGGGAGAGGGCAGTCATGAGGTAAAGCGGGTCACGGCACTGCCGTGCTTTGCACAGAATAACATCCAATGAAAAAAAAAAAAAATGAATTAAAAAGTCCTGACGGCTCAGACACATAGTGTCAAAACAACGAAACTACATAGTGAAAACCAGACATTTGAAAGGGCATTAAAAACTCAAACGCAAAGGACCGAAATGATCGTTTTCCACGAGCTGCTGTTACAAAAAGGGAACGAACACAAAAAGGCCAAGCAAGGAGAAATAAAGCTCAACAAATTCGCGCGTTCTGACACACCAAATTTACACAGAGTTGCGCCCGTACTTTTTATATAAATTAATGAGTGTAACGTTTTCCTTCATTGTCGTAAAAATCTAATTAATCGTAAAATCATACAAAAATAGTAAAATAATAAAGCAGGAAGCGCCGAATCCAACGCATGGTGTAGTTGGCGCTGCCAAAGTCAGCATTCAAGTAACAAGAAATCAAGATATCTTAAAAGTAATATTCAACGATCAAATAATTACTTCTTGCGAGAGCCATCAATATAACTAACCATATATACATATTTGATAGATCAGCAGAACTCGAGCAAGCATAAAAATTCGTAAAATCATCGCAAATAACCTATGACAAATTGTTTGGTAAGTCTGTCAGCCTACCGGGAGCGCATCAAGAAAATCTACAAGTAATAATACAGAAAATCGTAAAACCGCTCTACCTGAAGTATCTAACATTCTAGTCCAGTGAGCCTGTGTGGTTTTGGGGACAGCCGTTTAACCCCAGCCTCTGTGACGCCCCGGGGCTGATGCCGACTGTTCCCCGCTGACCGGTCCGCCCCGCCTCGGTCGGCGGACCGGGCACACCATGCCGCTGTCGCGGCGCTGGCTGCTGACGGGCGCGCTGGGCGTGGCCGTGGCCGCCTGCTGGGCCGGCCGGCTGGCTCCTCGCTGGCTGCCCGCGGCGGCGGCGGCGGGGGACGGCGCCGGGCCGCCGCCAGGGTCCGGCCGCCGCCGCCGCCGCCGGGTGGCCGCGGACACGGGCCGCGGCCGGCCGCTCCTGCTGTTCGGACTGCCGGCCGCCGGTCGGACGGCGCTCATGGTGCGCGCGCTGCTGGCGCGGCCGGCAGCAGTGACCGCGCCGCGGCCCGTCACCGACCGACCCGACTCCGACTCCGACCCGGCCGGCGACCTGCTGCAGCACCTCAGCGCCGAGCGGCTGACGGTGGACGCCGCCGCCGGCCGGCTGGTGGCCGTCCGCCGCCGCGGGGAGCACCGCTACGGCTTCCCGCTCCACTGGGAGCGCGTGGTGGCCGGCGAGCCGCCGCTCCGGCTCATCAAGGTCCCGCTCGACGAGCTGGCGGAGCTACAGCGGCTCTGCAGCGCCGCGGATCACACAAACGGGTGTGATGACCGGGACTGTGACAGCGAGGAAGCTGCAGACCACACAACCCAGTGCGACATCCGTGACAACATCCAAGACGGTAGTGCAGAGCCTTTCAACGAGACGCGCGATACCACAGACCTGCCGAGCACCCCGGAACCCGCCGCCCGCAACAGCACCGACTCTCCGGGCCCCGCCACCACCGCCTCCGACAGCTGTCTAAGTTCAGAAGGAGTTGCTCGCCGCAGTCCGTCCGCCTCAGACGCCTGCCGGAGCTCAGAAGAAGCCGCTCGCCGGAGCCCGCCCCCCTCCGCCGGCGTCCCGGCTCCGTCCTCAGCCAACCGACCCCTGCTGGTGCTGGTGGACGTGGCCGACCGAACGGAGCTGGTCAGGCGGCTGGCGCGGCGCGACCGGCTGTCCCGCGCCGCCGCCGAGCGTCAGGTGCGCGCCGCCGAGTCTCAGCTGACCGCCGCGCTCGGCGGCCGGTCTCCGCGCGCCTACTTCGACGCCGTCATCATCAACCACTCTCTGGAGGTTGCGGCTGAACGGCTGACGCGGCTGGTGGACGCTCAGCTGGGCGAGACGCACGGCCGCAGCCCGACCGCCGCGGAGGAGGGTAAAATGTACTCGGCGCGACAGCTGTGTGCCTCGACTCCCTCAGGAGCTCCAGCAAAGTACGGCAGCGACGAGTGAAATGTGTCGTTCACCAGCCCTCAGGGACAGCTGAGCCGACAATACTGAGCACGGCCGGGCGCGACCGACCGAGACATCACCTTCCCAGGCATGCCAGAGCGCGTACAGCCTCCTCCACATCGCCGGGACGTCACCTTCCCGTGGCCGGCACTTACCGCAGGTCCGAGAAGACCATGATGTGGCGGCAGTCGCCCTGGTGCACGTAGATGTACGGGTAGCCGAGCCGGACGCTGAGCTCGCTGACACGCACACCACTCATGGAGCGGCGCCGGAGGTCGGGCATCCTGCGCAGTGTGGCCCACTCCTGGATCGGCTGGAGAGGGCGGAAGGGGGCGGGGAGATTAGATGAAGGCGCTGACGGCGGCTTGAGGGGGGGGGGGGGGGGAGGCGGTTCGAGTTCGAGTTTGATCGGTGGGTCTGTTAGTGACAAAGGGAGGCGCTCTCAGGGAGACTGACTCCTCCCAGGGCCCGCCGACTCCCTCTCAGGGCCCGCTGACCCCCTCCCAGGGCCCGCTGACCCCCTCCCAGGGCCCGCTGACCCCCTCCCAGGGCCCGCTGGCTACTCCAGGGCCCGCCGATCCCTCTCAGTGTCCGCTGAATTCTCACCTCCGTGTAGTCGATGGCGAGTGGACTGCGGTCGTCCACGTAGAAGACGCCGTCAATGCAGAAGAATCCAGATGGATACATCTCCTGTGGCGAGCAGGCAGGAGACGTTAGAGGAAGACAGAATCGGAGACGCTAATCCCACCCAGTATCACATCGAGAAAACTGACCGCCGCAGCATTCGGTTCGACTGAATACAGTTGATATTCGTACGATTTAGTCACCACTCAGTGGCAAATTTACCCGCAAACAGATAATCAGCAAATACAATAAAAAGAGCTAAAGAATATCAGCATTTTGGAACAATAACTTATGAAATCCAAAACAAATATCACACATACTGGTAAATGCTTACAGACTCGGCTGGTTTTGCCGATCCAGATCTGATTACAGCCACAATGGGAATCTTCCCGGTTCCTTTCCGTTCGTCTTACCCTGGGACAACGCACTTTTACAGACATACCGCAGCACACCAGGAGCTGGGGATGGGATCCACGGCAGAACACAGCTATACCCACCGCCGTCTCTGAGCTACATCGACCAGAGAACACGGGCTGATCCCCTCCCCCCCCCCCCCTACACACCTCGGCGGTGATGGGCGTGGTGTTGTCGGGGTCCTCCGAGCAGTCGTTGACCACCAGACTGTCGTTGGGACAGCGGATCTCGTCTCTGATGTCACACAGTTGGTTGGTGCCTAGACAGAGCAGCTCCTGGTTCAGCACGAACACCCTTACATTCCTGACCGGGAAGAACGGGCCGGGGGTAATCCAGCATACATTCAGGATCAGCGGTGGGTGCAAACTGTTGAAGTCCGGATGCCCTCTGCCATAGATAACATGATTCATGCTATCTATGCCTCTGCCTATCACTTGCAACAACAATTGAAACGACTCAAATAACAATATGGAAAACCGGCTCTTGAATGCACGATGCACGAGGCCGTCAGCCAACAAAAGTGTGTGGTGTGCAAACATCAGCGTGAACTCGAGTGTCTACTTCTGGCGCTGATCAGCCCCAACTTTCGGCAAGAGTGTCAGTGGGAGAAGATCAGTGAGGCTGTGTCGGTGAGAAGAGGTCGGTGAGAAGAGGTCGGTGAGAAGAGGTCGATGGGTCTGTCTGTCGATGAGAGCCGAGAGGGTGGGAAGGGGTCGCCGAGAGCCGAGAGGGTGAGAGGGGGTCGTTGAGAGCCGAGAGAGTGAGAGGGGGTCGGTCACCGGTGAGAGCCGAGAGGGGGAGAGGGGGTCGGTGAGAGCCGAGAGGGGGAGAGGGGGTCGGTGAGAGCCGAGAGGGTGAGAGGGGGTCGGTGAGAGCCGAGAGGGGGTCAGTGAGACCCGAGAGGGGGTCAGTGAGACCCGAGAGGGGGTCAGTGAGACCCGAGAGGGGGTCGGTGAGAGCCGAGAGGGGGTCGGTGAGAGCCGAGAGGGGGAGAGGGGGTTGGTGAGAGCCGAGAGGGGGAGAGGGGGTCGGTGAGAGCCGAGAGGGTGAGAGGGGGTCGGTGAGAGCCGAGAGGCGGGTCGGTGAGCCAGTATCGGTGACTCGGCGTCGACGCCCCACTCACGCCGTTGGCGGCTGGCTTCTCTTGGCCTGAGAGTTGCCCGGGTGGAGTCGCGTGCCGCGGTAAACGCGCAGGGAGACTAGCGACTCGAGACTGGCCGGCGACCGCACGTACGTCTGGCCGGTCTGGCTCAGCGTGCTGTCCGACTCCTGCGGGCCCCAGCGGCCGTCCGTCACTCAGCGCCACCGGACGACGGGACACCGCGCACAGAACCTAGGCGTCACTTCTCACTACTAATAATACATATTTAATAACGGTCATTCGGCAGGGCAAGCGGTAAGAGTAGCGAGCAACGGACTAAAATGTAAATCAAACTGACAGACAACTTCAGCGGTATCAGCAGCTCAGAGAATTGCCTCACGAGCAGAACTCACCAATCTAACCTCGCCCGTGAAGCGCAGCGAGCGCTGAAACGCTTTGGAGACGCTGACGCGCCTCTTCAGAGCGCCGCTCCTCTGGCGGTGAAAGCGGAGGCTCTCCAGCTTGGTGGCCGCCTCGTCACTGATGACGTCACCCCAGCCGCCGGTGAGGTCTGGGGGCGGCACGCCCGTCACTCACGGCGGGTCGGACCCAGGGGTGTCGATTTTTCAAAATGGTTGGGGGTGCTCAACCCCTGCACTGGGTGAAAGATTGTAGCTTTGCCATGGGGCACAACCGTACCTACAAGGCATGGTTGTGTATCCCCATAAGGTACTGATAATCCCGGGATTTCCACTAATATTTCCCAAAGGTTGAACGTTCTTCAAAATCATTCTGCTCGTCCTAGTACTTGGCTACCTCATTACATAAACATCTTTCCGAAAAAACGCGTACATTTGCCGGCAGCTCGGCAGCAGCCCCGACACCTCTGTAATAAGGTGACAGAAACCGATGACCGCGATTAGCACCGGTGCAGCAGCCCCTCCGGTCCGCAGGGGCGGACATTGCGCGGGAGGCAACGGTATAGCTACGAGGCTCTGGCGTTTATCAGACGATCACAATAATCGCTGAAAAAAATAACAGGTGATTGCAATTCGATATTTATGGGTTTACGATTTTCCTCAGTGGCGTAGCCAGGTGGGCCCGTGAGCCCCCCCCCCCCCCGCCCCATCAGGTTCAGGGGCCCATCGGATTATTCGGGCCTGAGGGGCACTGCGGCGCCAATTGGCCACTGAGGGTCCACGTTGGCTATATTTGGACTCAGAAGGGCCCCACAGGGCTCGCGCTCGGCAGCAGCCCCGACACCTCTGTGATAAGGTGACAGAAACCGATGACCGCGATTAGCACCGGTGCAGCAGCCCCTCCGGTCCGCAGGGGCAGACATTGCGCGGGAGGCAACGGTATAGCTACGAGGCTCTGGCGTTTATCAGACGATCACAATAATCGCTGAAAAAAATAACAGGTGATTGCAATTCGATATTTATGGGTTTACGATTTTCCTCAGTGGCGTAGCCACGTGGGCCCGTGAGCCCCCCCCCCCCCCCCCCCCCCGCCCCATCAGGTTCAGGGGCCCATCGGATTATTCGGGCCTGAGGGGCACTGCGGCGCCAATTGGCCACTGAGGGTCCACGTTGGCTATATTTGGACTCAGAAGGGCCCCACAGGGCTCGTAAGAACACCTCATGGGCCCAAAAGTACTAACATTAAGATCTCCATAAGGGCCCCAAGCCAGCCTCTGAGGGCCACTTGCCGGCCTCTGGGGGTCTTAACCGGCCTCTAGGGGGCCAGCTCTAGGAGCTGCACACCCGCCTGTAATGGCCCCACACCCATTTCTCTGAGGGCCCCTATAACGGCGACTGTGAGGGCCCTCACCGGCGCCCCTGAGCGCCACACCGGCGTCTCTGAGGGCCCCACACCCCTAACTCTGAGGCCCTATACCAATGCCTTTAAAACCCCTACATGGGCGGTTCTGAGGGCCCTTGATAGTTACCAGCGACCCTGACGGCCCCACACAGGTGACACGGAGGGTCCCAGCGGCGTCTGAGCGCACCATGCCAGTCTCTGAGAACCCCACAAGGCTCCTGAAGGCACCGGTGACCTCTTGATATCTTCTTGTCGGCCTATGAAGGATCCGTTCCGTAACAGCAGTTCTGAGGGCCCAACGCGCGCCTGTGATGACCCTAAACCAGTGTCTCTGAGAGCCCCCACACCGGCGCCTCCAGTCCGAGGGCCCCACATTGCCATATCTGAGGGCCCCACACTAGTGCCTCTTAAGGCCCTATATCGGCGGCTCTGAGGGCCCAACATCGTAGCTTCTGAAGGCCCCGCAAGTGCGCATGTGACGCCCGTGACGGCCACCCTGCCACCGGTGACATTTGAAGGCCCCACACCAGCGACTCTGAGGGCCCCATCAGCGCCTGAGTCCGTTCCGGTCTTTAAGGATGACCCCACAGGGTTTCTGAAGGTACATACCACCGGCCTCTGATGACCCTTTGCCGGCCTCTGAGGGCCCGTCGCCGGTCTCTGGAGCCCCCTGCCGGCTTGTAAAGGGTACGCGCCAGCAGCTCTAAGGGTCCGACACCCGTGTACGACAGACCCACACCATCTTTGCAACTTAACGTTTTTTTTTCGCCCTTCTTCTTAAATCTAAATTTTCTTTTCTTTACATCTTTATTTCATGCCTTGTAAGTTGCGTAATTGTTTTATTTTTAGTAGTGAACTACTGCAGAACAATTATTTTCCTCAAGCAGAGTTATTGAGGGACAAAACCATTGGGGGTGCCCGGAAAACCATTGGGGGTGCTCATTTGAGCATTGGGGGTGCTGCAGCACCCCCAAAGGTATACAAATCGACACCCATGGTCGGACCTCCGTTACAAGACGGTTAAACCTGAAGTTTAAACCTAGAGTTTAAACCCCAGGCAGGTAGGTGACAGCAAGGAAATGATTATGTTTCAGTTCGGACTGGTTTTATTTCGTTATTAACGTGAACGTGGGATTACACCTGACGCAGAAACATCTACGTCTACATCATGCAACCTTATTTTTACATTACATACAAGCAACCTTCCGCAACACACACAACAGCTCAGTTCACAGCAGCAGCTTACCAGTGGTGATGTTGGGAAACAATCTCCGCTCGGAGAGCAGTTCCGGTGGCGCGCCTGTCCCCTTGGGAATGACGTTCGAGGGATCCGGCTCACCCTCACATAGCAGGTGGTCCACCCTGCCAGCGGGGCCAGACACAGGGGCCGCTCACCAGGGCGGATCGCTGGTGATGGGGAGGGGTGACGATACCCACCGAGCCCGCCAGCACGCAGAGACCAGCGGGTAAAGAGGCACGGTCAGCGGCACAGACGTTTGGGGGGGAAGATCCCATTCTAGCCGTTGGGCGCTCAATATTCAATTCACACCACCGTCGTCCTATTCATGTCATTGGATAATAAGGATATTGCAAGAGCATGAGAGCAGCTTTTAAAATCTGATAAAAAATCAAATGGAGCACCTTTACTACTTGACAATTATACAGCTAACATTGCCAACAATTTTAACAGCAGCCAAGATGTTGTAACTGGTGGGGACACTACCAGGATAACAATTAGCGTAAATAATACCCAGCGCGAGCCATAGCCTCATATCTGACACTGTGGCCACGGCAGAAAAGCCAGTGTCATATAGTTTTCGCTATATGGAGCTGGAACAGACCAGCGGTATCAGGCATCCCACGCCACTTTGACTTTACAGTTCACTTTGCATTAGTCATAACCTCCAACCAGTCTTGAATAATACCCTCAAACATACAAAAATAATATACACTAAAACTAAACTGACATGACTTTAAAACTGTAAAATACATATTTGTGATTCTGATCATTATTATTATACATGACACCAGCTGATTAACCCTCGCCGGACCTATTGATTTTTACAAACGCGCCGGCCGAGGGGGGGGGGGTACGACCCCCCTCGCCGTTTCGCCCCTGATGAAGCTAGAGCGTCGCGGAAAAACGAGCGTGTGCGCCGTTACAAGACGCAACGACTGGTACCCGATTTACAGGTCTCAGGTCAACCGGTGACCTCTGAGGTCAGGTCAAGTGACTAAAGATACGGATTCCGTTTTTCATACAAAACTTCGCAAAAAAATTGTTGCAGAGCCGCGAATTTGGCATAATCGTGTTTGCCTCGCTCAGGCGCGTCGAATGGCGCGTCATTTTGTTCGGTTGAGGTCAACCTGAGGTGTTGCCCTCGGGTCAAGGTCAGTTCAGCGCCCCCAGGTCACGAAGTTGGTCGAAGGAGGTCATGTTGCATATCATTCGATTCGGCAGGGCTTCCCGAGTTCATTGAAGGCTTTCGCGACTCGCTAGCTCAATTTCGTCGGGAATTATTGACGAAAAACTCTTAAGACTCTGTTGACGTCATAAATGATAGTACGCAATGTCAACAATGCAAAAGTGAAGCATTGGACCCTGCAAAGAGGTCCAATGCTTCACTTTCTACCGCTAGGCCATCCACTAGGCCACGTCTCCCCGTGGCCTAGTGGATAAGGCGTCCGTCTCCTACCTCGGTGGCAGCGAGTTCGCGGCCGGGAAGCTCCACGTCGTTTGACCCGCGTTCCTATATTAAGCCAGCTGGCAGCTGGTGAGAGGGCCACGCTAGACCCGGGAGGACCGTGCCGCCATCTACCTGCGGCACGTTAAACTTTCGATCCAAATTATTACCGGTGAGCCGGGCGCGGGCAAGGCGGGGTGGCGGGTCCGTGGTGTCATTCGCAACAAGCACTGCTTAGCGGAGCACCCGGGCCCATAGCCACCCATTCATCCATTCGGACAAAATTTCTAAAAAAGAAGAGTGCAAACATCATGATTCCGTGTGCTTAAGCTAGTTTGGGATTCCTCTGACCTCATGTGACCTTAAGGAAAAGTCCGAGATTATACAAGTTGTGAGACCTCTGGAGGATACTACATCCTGTAAGTTTCATCTCTCTGTGAAAGTTCCTCTGGCACTGAGGATGTTCAAAGTTGTGACATCTGAGGACCGTGAGGAGGTTCACTAATGACATCATAGTTAAGTAAACCGGGCCCTGTTTCACCGGTGATAGCAGCACGCTGCTATCACACGTGTCAAATTGGGTTTCCATGGAGACATCAACAAACCTTGCCGTCGTCAATCTGTGTGATGTCATCAAATATTGCTGCTAACATCTTCACGGCCGTGCGAATGTATCAAACGCATTTAACGAGACGGCAACTCTGTTACAAACGTAGCTATGAAAAAGCTCACGGATTACACAAAACGTCATTAGGGTGACGTCATCACATTACGTCAGCTCGCGCAATTTGATAGCAGCATGCTGCTATCACCGGTGAAACAGGGCCCTGACCTGACCTGAAAATGCAGTTGGTGGCATAAGAGTGAGATGCGGCTTCAATCAAAGGTCAGGAATGCCAAGTTTCAGCTCTCTATCACTGTCGTGTTCGGAGCTATCGCAAAAAAACCTTAAGGGAGGGAGGGGGCTGTCCCCTCCCCTCTGCTGGCGAGAGTTAAGGCCCCATTTGTGTGGGTGATGGCACAGTGCTCACGTCATACTTACGAGCATATTTTGGATACCTCATTTACTGCAGCTTGTGGCATGTCCATTGACTCTGCCATGGTCATCCAGTCAGCTCCTTTTGGCATAATTGTGGCAAGGTCCTTGCTGAAGGAAGAACAGAATTCACCTATGTTTATTGCTTCCTTGCAAAAGTATGGCCTCTGTATTTGGCCCATGAATGGTAGATTGGAGTGATCCATTTCTATTGGGATAAGTTTTTTTTCAAATCCTGTGAAGAAAAAAAGTCAATTAAGAGAAATTAACAACTGATTAAAAAAACAATAAATACATTCAATTGCATAACAAGCAGTGATCATAAAATATTGACTAAAAATCGCTAATCCTGATTTGAAGGCAAATCAGTCTTAGTCACATTATACAACATCCCTGCTTCAGATACTAGTCAATTCTTATAATAGATATGATTCTGTAAAGAAACTTGTGATATCCCGGGTTTGTAGAGGGTGTTCAACCCCCAGCAAGGCAGAGGCCTCTGCCTTGCTGGGGGTTGAACACCCTCTATATATTTACTTTTAAGATCTGCCTATACAGAGGGGTAGGTAACTAAAAGCAATTCATAAGGAACACCCCCTGCGTTTTTTTTTTTTTTACAAAAATCTTATATCCAACTGCTTTTCACTGATAATTTCTCTGACAGGCGCATGCTAGAGCGATGAAAACACCTACGTGTTTTGTTCAATGCTCGACAATACGGATCGAGTCACCGATCGAATGATGTCAACCAACTATCAACATAGGTAGTAATTACATACCCTGGTAATTACGGCATCCACACTCCTTTCCTTAGGGCCTTGGCCCTTGGCTTTCCTGCTATACCTTCACTAAACCGCCGAAAACGTTTAAATATTGTTTTAATATTGTTCTTTTTAGGCCAATGTAGAAAACTCACACCACAAAGGAAGGTATGGGTGCTGTGATTGGTGAAAAGCAGTGGAAAGCAATAAAAACGCAAAAACCGAACACAAACAATTGCTTTTGTAGTGCGTCATTTACGAAACTACTGCGCAGGAATGAGAAAACATCGTTATGGTGCATTAAAACACTGCATAAAATAATATGATAAACCGCTGCACATCACCACACCATAAATCTTTCTTCCTTTTATTGATTCTGTGGTTGCTTCCTTCCGAGCTTGTTCATGTGCGGGCGCATACAATAAGGGTTGGACCTGACTCGATCAAACTACAGCAGACCTTAGCTCATTTATCATCGATCCTTATAGGTTGAATCCGGAAAAGGGCGGGATTTCCCGTCTTGAATTACTTTTATTCTACACCTGGGCAGTGGGGATCAACCCCACTAGTGGACCTTCCGCACGCCTCTTTTTTAATCTGCTGGTAGACAGACATTCAGCGAATCCGCTGTCAAAGCACTAAGCAGCATATTTGAGGCCGACAATTTTCTGAACCTGCTGCTAATAAAAACATTCGGCGAATCCGCTGCCAGAGCAAAAAGTGAGACAAAGTGAGAAACAAGAGCCCGTGAGGTGTTACGATGGAATAAATGCATGATTCACAGCACAAAATAAAACAGATTTGTCAGAATACGATATTCATTTGATGTGGACAAACCACATTGTTTTGTTCGTTGAATGTCCATTCTCGTTTCATTATCAATGCATGAAAACAGATAACCTCGTTGGTTATAACGAATAAAATATTAAATATATATTGGCTGATAGCATGTGTGGTGCGTATCACATGCGTACATGGGCTCGATTCCTAATCACCATTGAATTGGGCACTTTCTAGTGCTCAAAATAAAATTGCAATGTCAACAATCGGTTCTCATCAGCAATACCATCTCTGCATATAAGCCGAAATAACCAAGATTATGGTACCTATTCATCATATCTAAAAAAGCCAAAGATTCGACAATTCCGATCACTGCAGCTTCGCACCACCCCACCCACACCAATAAGTCCTTGTACATTGCGTGTCCGTCCGTTCCTCCCGGCGCGCAGCTGTCTCCGGCGGCTGAGGCCACCCAGCGCCAGATATTTAGCTCGTCACCTCGCTGAAGCTCTCGTACACATTGGCCGCCAGCACCTGCACTTTGCTGTGGTTGGAAAGCATCCACACGAGCGAGTCGGGCCCGGAGCGCAGCAACGTGTGCGGCAGGTTGGTCAGCGCCGGCACCAGCTTGGCCACGGGCAGGGTGGCCGCGCTCGGCGGCACGAAACCCTCGCTGCCGCCGCCCTGGCCCGAGAACGCGCCCACCATCTGGTCGAGCACGTGCGCCAGTCCGGCCTGGACACACTCGGCCACCAGCTCCTCCGTCTCCGGGTTATCGACCAGGTCGCGCGTCTCGGCCGCCAGCTGGGCGACCCGGCCGCCGGCCGGCTCCGCGGCGCCGCTGCGGGCCGTCACCGACTCCGGGTAGGCGTACCGCGACAGCCGGATCTCCGGACGCTGCCGGACGGCCGAGCGGGCCCAGCCGAGCAGCGCCTCCACGCCGTCCAGGCCCAGCTTGTCGGTGAGCGCCAGCCGGTCGGCCAGCGGCGCCAGCAGCGGCGCCAGGTCGGCCGACAGCCGCTCCAGGCCGGCCGTCAGCAGGTGCTCCACGCCGGCCAGGTAGCGCTCCTGGGCCGACTCGTCGAGCGCCGCCGCCTCGGCGTCCGCGCCGGGCTCCGCCAGCAGCCGGCGCACGCTATCCACGTACAGGCAGCCGCCCAGCGCGTGCACGTGAACCTCGAGCAGCACGACCAGGTAGGCGGCGCCGTAGACGGCCGTCATCACGCGCTGCAGCGCCAGCCGCTTCAGCTGCTGCCACACCTGCCGGCCGAGGGACACATTCAGCACACGATACATAGAAGGATACACCAGCCGCCGCACCAGCTCTCATAAACGGCCATAGAACACTGCCAACACTCAGCACTGTTATCATTCGACACTTAACAGTTTGTTGGTTGAGCACGAACTGAAAATATCGATTACCAGCACCGAACTAATTTAACGTTAGAAGTTAGCAACTGTAAGTTGTAACAACTACCGAAGAAAAATACGCACAAAACACAAACAAGTCATGCGAATCATTGGCAAGAATTGGCGACATCCCTTGTATGCACGGCGCTTCTGACCTGTAGTTTGTCGGGCGCGCCGGCCCGGAGCGCCTCCAGCAGACTGTCCGAGTCGAGCACGCGCGTCAGCTGACTCAGCAGCCGCGGCGCCAGCTGGCCCAGGCTGCTCGTGCACGTGGCGCGCGTGCTCTCAAAGTGCGCCTGCTTTTTCACCTTCTCCAGCATGCGGTGCGTCTCCCGTTCGCCCCAGTCGCGGAGCCGGCGCGTGGCGTACCACTGGAGCAGGTAGGCGGCGCCGCCCAGCGCGCCCACCGCCAGCAGCTTGTACCGGTGACGGCGCGCGAACCCGCGCAGACGGGACAGCATGGCGACCAACGGGAGCTACAGGAGGGACTACCTACTACGGAGCTGACCGGCCCTTTAGATGATGAGGTCGGAGGGAGGCGCCGGGAGCGAGGCCGAGCTCAGACCGGCGGACTTCTCCATCCGATTAATGATAAAGTTGGAGGTGTCCAGGAAGCGTTCGACGCAGTTGGTGAGGCACGACTGAGTGCGGTAGTCGAGGCGCGTGCTCGGCCGGTCCACCATGCACGAGTCCCAGCAGCGCTCCGTCAGGCCGTGAACCAGCACCTGGGGACCGGCGACCTGTCAGACCGGCGCCCCGGGACCAGCGTGCTGACTGCTGCCAGACCAGCGTCAGGGGACCTACATGCTGTCATACCAGCATCAGGGGACCAATATAGTGTTGGCATCACGTTGGCATTGAAACCTCTTTCTGGTCCCGGCGTTTTATTCTCCGGGTGGGTTTAACCCCGTCCAGCGTTTAGCCTTTCGGGACCCACTCGGAGCCGCCGTTGTTTTTGCCGCTAGTTGAGTTGAGATACAAAGGTAATAAACACACGAAACTTATTTAGAGCCGGCCAAACCAGCCTTGAGCGGTGAGCCTATATAGTCCAGAATCATTGCTAATGTAGTAATGTTTGTACATAGACGAAAGGAATGGGCTTTGTAGAGTCGATTAATTTCGAAGTTGTATATTCAGTGGCCCTAAATACGTTTCATGTGACTATTAACTTTGCTTCTCGACTGGAGCGAGCGGTGAAAACAACTGCGGCTCTGAGCGGGTGCCGAAAGGCTTAACACTGGACGGGGCTAACCCGAGAATAAAATGCCAGGACCAGAAAGAGGCCACAATGCCAACGCTGGACTAACATGCTGTCAGATCAGGGCCTGTGGACCAGCATCCTGTCAAAGAAGCCCCTGGACATCAGAGGACGTCAGTCACTTGACCATATACACAATTGTGTAGCAAAGGCATGATAATTCAATATTTCGGATCTGACTCATCTATCCATAGAGTTATAATTCCAAAAAAACACCATTAACTTAGACAGCACAGCAAGTGGTGAAGGCAAATGGTTAGTTGCATGCATCTTCTATACGTGCCTAGCACAGAATTACCTGAAACCTTTGTTTTTGAGTTTCACCCTCAATAAACCTCTTTAGTTGAGGATCATTAATGCCATTAAGAATGTCTGAAATGCCACTATTCATAGCTTGAGGGATTTCCTAGCCTGGAAAGACAAAAAACACAACACTCAGTATAGCATATTTTAACCTCAGGAGTCAGGAGGGTCAAGAGCTATCAGTCATCAGTCATTACCTAAAAATTCAATAAGCATGCATAAATGAGCCAAAGGGAAAATTACCTACAGTGACAAAATTTCAAAATCTGGAGTGTGAAATGTCACACTATTTAGGGCCACAGTGCCCTAGACTCTAGTAAAACAGATGGTAGTAGATGGTCTTCAGTCTTTGTCTTGGGTTGGGGAGTTACCTTCACAACATTTTGATCAGTTGCTTCTTTGGGTGCCATCAGGTGCAGGTCAGACAAGTAACTGCCTGATAGATGTGAAGTTAAGATCTTAGCTCAAGACAAGGACAGAAACTTTGCCTGTTATCACTTAAAGGTGCTAAAATGTTGGCACAAACATTCTAAAGAACGGACCCAGTAAATTTGTTCTTTTTTTTCAATTTGAATGCCTTGAATCAAGCATGTCATACATAGTCTTCAGTATTGACCATCATATGAAACAAGGCTTGGCCCCTCACTATAGGTTCACTACGGGTTTGGGTCTCTGTTGAGCGATCCATTTCCCAAAGCATAGCTGATGCATGAACAGTGTAGTCAGTCTATTGAAGATACCATAACCCACACACTGATATTACAAGGGTGGTTAGATGGATCTTTTCACGATCTTATCACCTCAGTTGATGACCTCAATTGATTTTTTCAGATTGATTACCTACTTGAGATGGTGAGGGAGATCAAGATAGGTATCTCGTTTCAGTTCAAGTTTTCCTTCGCACAGCTCGCATGACTTATTACATAATGACCGAAAGCCAAGTTAAAGTGACCATCCCACCTTAAAATTAGTTTTGAGTTGACATAGCCAAATTGGTGGCCATGGCCTGCAAATACCGGTTTGGGCACTCACAACATCGAAAATGCTTTAATTCTGAGATATGGAATTTCAAACTTGCAGTTTTCGGTTTCTAAGGGGCTAATGCATTGGAATGCCCCCTTAGAATTTGTGACGTTAGCGGAGATCTAACGATTTTAAATGTTTTACTAAAATGTTTGGCAGCACGCAGCGGTACATGCTGTTTTGCGCGCAACAAGTGCCGCACTCTCAAATAGTCGCTAGGAACAGAGGAGATCCCAAAAAGTAAACAAAAGTAAAATCCTAATATCTTGAAAACCAGTGAATCATTTTCGGTGAAATTTGGTAGATATTCATTTTTAATCTTTCCGAACCAAGGTACAGCCCTCAGCAGACTGCGTGGTATAGGTATAGGTATAGGTATAGGTATATAGATAATGGACTTGGGGTAGCAGTATGCTATTTGTTGTCCATGTCATTGTTGGCAAGGAAACATGTCAGGGTACTCATTGAGGTTGGAGGTCACAGGTCACAGTTGGCTTTGAGCTGGAGGTGCTTATCTAGCTTAGCTTTAAATGTAGCAGTGGTGTCAGCAGACACAACATCATCTGGTAGCTTGTTCCAGTCATTAGCCACCCTCTGTGAGAAGAACCTTTGTCTGGCTTGATGGACTGACTGCTCCTTGTGTAATTTCATATGGTGACCTCTTGTGTTTGTCGTCCTCACTTTGAAAAACTTCTCTCTCCTCACATTGAGCTTCCCTGACATGATTTTATACGTCTCAATCAAGTCGCCTCTTTTTATCCTGTCTTTAATAGATACGGTCTTCAGGACTTTTAGTCTTTCTTGGTATGGCCTGTGCTTTAACCCCCTCACCAATCTTGTAGCTCTGCGCTGGATGTTTTCGAGGAGACTGATATCTTGAACAGCTTGGGGACCCACAGCTTGTATACAGTAGTCCAGGTGCGGTCTCACATATGAGTTGAAGAGGCTGGTGAAGTTTGTTGCTGTGATTTGGTCAAAGGACCTCTTTATCATTCGGAGAGCTACCATTGCTTTGCTCGCAGCTCTTTGACAGTGACTAGTAGGTCGAAGGTCGTTTGTTATAGTCACCCCCAGGTCTCGCTCCTTATCTGTGACTTCTAGTTTGACTCCTCTAATACTGTAAGATCTTTTTGGGTTTTGTGGTCCACAGTGCATCACTTTACACTTTTGGGGGTTGAATTCAAGAAGCCATTGTTCAGTCCATTGCGAGAGTCTATCTAGGTCTGCCTGAAGTTGTTCTGAGTCCTCTGAATTTCTGACCTCACGATAAATCTTCATGTCATCTGCAAACAGTTTTGCGTCGCACTGGACCAATGTGGGCAATTCATTGACATATATCACAAACAGGATGGGTCCCAATACTGATCCCTGCGGAACTCCGCTGGTCACAGCCTCTTCTCTAGATTCTTGGTCATGAACTACTACCTTCTGAGTCCTGTCCTGAAGAAAGTTTGTGATCCATTGAAGCACTCCTGCTTTGACACCATAGGCAGCCAGCTTCTTAACAAGTCTTCGGTGGGGCACAGAGTCAAAGGCCTTTTTAAAGTCACAATAGATGATGTCCAGTCCAGTGCTGCTGTCCAGTATGTGTGTCCAATCCTCCAGAGCCTCTAGAAGATTGGTCAAACATGATTTTCTGGGTACAAAGCCATGCTGTTCTTTGCAGATGAGATCTTTCTCTAATAGATGATTGAGCAGGTGCCTTTTGATAATTCTTTCCATGACCTTACATGCATGACTAGTCAGACTCACAGGCCTGTAGTTACTTGCCAGTTTTTTGGAGCCTCCCTTGAAGAGTGGTACCACTGCTGCTCTCTTCCAAGCTGTTGGTAGCTGTCCGCTTGTCATGGACTTTTGGAATATCTGCATGAGTGGGTACGCTAGCTCAGGTGCACAGTTTTTCAAGAGAAAGGGGGAAACATCATCTGGTCCTGATGCCTTGTCTTCAGTCAACATTTGAAGTTCATGGAGTACTTCCTGAAAAGTGATGTTAATATCCTCGAGTGATTCTCCTTCTTCCACCTGACTTTCAAAAGCTGGCAAAACGCCACCTTCTTCTTTTACAAAAACTGAGCAAAAGAATGTTTGTAGTTCATCTGCAATCTCTTTCTTTGTTGCTATCACAGTGCCATCAGGTTTGACTAGTTCCATCACTTTGTCTCTTGTTTTGCTTTGCAGTCTTACATATTTGGCTATCTTCTTTGGCATTATCTTAGCTGACCTTGCCAGCTCTTCCTCATACAACCTTCTCGTCTGCCGGATGTGACTCGTGGTCTCGTTTCTGATCCTGGTAAACTTCTTCAGATATTCTGGTAGGTATTCTTTTTCCGACAAAACTGATAATAATTCAAAAGTCATGTTATCAGTCGGTTGAAACTCACTGCAAATCGATGCGCCATGCTCCACTCCTTCGATAGGGCCTATCAATAAACAAAGCATACGCCTTGTGTGGCAACAAAATGTAAAAGTTCGTTTTGGGGGCAAATATAAACTTTTGGGTTTTGTTGCCAAACTGGATGGAAAATGCATACGGTGATAATGCCAATCTAAGCTGCGGAGTCCCGCGCATCTTGCTGCTACGATTTCTGAGTGACCGATAGCATAGTATTCGCGTTATTCTCGGTTTTGTCGAAAAAAAGAATACCTACCACGCAGTCTGCAGAGGGCTGTACATCACTTTTATGCCAATTCATTAACTTTTTTGAAGGTGGGAGGGTCCTATATGGATATAAGTTCAACCAGTACCCAAGATCATACCAGCTCTCACCTATCCCAACAAGTCAAACATTCAATATCTTGTACCTCCAAAAATATTTGACAAAAAACGACCCAAGGCAACAAACGACCTTCTCTGAAGTTATGCGAGCAGCGGTGTCACACCAGCAACAAAAATGCTGCCAGTACGGTGAAAAAAAGTGAGAAAAAGTAGAAAATCCTTTACCACCTTTCACTTTTTCACTAGAAATAAATACTTATGAAACATTTTTTCAATTATAATTATTTAAAACGTATATATAGGTTCGAAAATTGATTCAATCGTAAAAATATTGATCTTCAAATTAAGAATTATTCAAAAAATAGAAAAATATCAGGAAAAATTGGCACATTTTATGGAATCAGCGAAATTCCTTTACATTTATGAAGTAGCTTTTTGAGACATAACCTGCGCTAGAGTTGCACTAGAGCTCGTAAAAGCGTTCAGTGGTAAAAAGCCTTGGGTAAAAAAATAGCCAAGCTGCTGCGCGCCCTAACTCTTCAACAACAACCTTGGGTAAAAGTCTTTTTGACGTTTTTATCAAAAATAGGTACCGTGATATGATCTAGAGTTTCTGGTGGAGTTTCTTTTGGATTTAGACCTAACTGCTAAATTCAGATAGTTTTCAATCTTTCATTTACATTGAAAGAAGTAGAAGATGAGGCTGACGCAAAGTCTTCTTTCGTCCGTGGGAAAGATGACAAAGCTCTACAGTAATTTACCAGAATCCTACATCAAAAGAGCAATGGAAAAGGTAAGATGAAGTCATGCCATAGCTTGGTTGCTAGAGTGTCTGACTCCCAATGATGAGTGAGAGGCAGTCTCACAATGAACCCTGGCAAGAGCATGGGTTTAAGTTGCTCAGGTGCACGAGGTACGAGACTCCTGCCTATGTATCATTCATATAACTATGTGTGTATGTATTTACAATCATGAGCAATCTACACATGGCATGGCAATTCCTGCATCTGGTAGATGGCCTTTAGTCAGTGGAATCAGCTACAGCCAGTTGAAGTCAATTGAATGGAATGGTGTTCAGCTTTGCTTGGCTTATTACACTTGGGCACAAGAGTTTCTTGTTGATTGGCTGGCCTGATTAAATTTAATTGGCCTCAGTCAGGACCTTTGCAAGAATGCATGCTTATCACAATAAGGTTCAGTCATTTATTTGACATGCTTTCAACTTGCAATTTCAACTACACTTGCACTAGAACAAACAGCTCAGCCCTCTGTAGGGACTGGGATGCTGAGGCATCAGCCAGAGAATTGCCAGGGAGATTGGCAAACTGACCTGATAAGGTTAGGCACCTTCACTGGCCAAAACTGACCAAGGATGGCCCTCTGCACCACTTAGGATTCCTGACTAGCCATTGTGCGAACACCCTGGTCAGACCAAAGTCCCTGGTTGGACCTTTGGCACAATTTCAGGGTGCCTCAGGCCCTCAGCAGATGGACCTTAACCATTTACTCTTGTGAGGGCGAGTGGTTGGCTCTGTTCTGTCTTTGATTTGCAGTCAGTTACATTGACTCCATGTCTGACCAGCATCACCCACACAAATCTTCTGTTTGAGATCTTTGCACTAAATCAGTGAATTTATGCAAATTCTCTTCTGTGCAACTTTTTGCCGACCAATCTATTTCCACTTGCTACACTACACGTAAACCTCATGACTTCATGACTCCCTTCATCCTGCGCAACTGTTATGCTGTTATCAGTCACCACTCACCTAGCTCAGTTAGTGGAGCATCGGACTCCCGGTAGTGAGGGCCCGGGATTGAGTCGCTCCGGCACCCAACATTTGAGACTCTTGCTGGGGATGGTCTGCAGTTGGTGGGAGCAGCCGCAGCCAGTTGAAGTCAGTTGAGTGGGACAGCCCGTGTGCGGCTTTGATGGGCACGTTAAACTTTGGCATCTAAATTATCCTGTTACCCGGACTTGTGTCATCGGACGGTAGGAGTCTGGATCTGCGCAACAAGCACAGCTTAGCATGGGCTCCGGCTCTGTCGATCCGTCCATTCAAACATTCGAGCTAGATAAATAAAAAAGAGTCGTAGGCTACTCGACCTTTCAACTCTGGGCAGTGTTGATTCAATCCGAGTGTCGTATTGCCAGGGCAAGGTGGGCTGGAAGACCCCGCGGACGGTGCAGTACCAGCCGAAGGAGATTAAGAAGAAGCACTACCGGTTCACAATGAACCGTCCTTGGACGGACGAGTTCGCCCGCCAGAACCAGGTGTCCAGGAAGAAGGTGTACGTGAAGCCCATCCCGAAATGGAGCTACTTCCGCGGCGACATGGTAAGAGGGGATGAGCTGGAGTAACACGCTGGACACTTTTACCTTTAGTTTGTTTGTTGTTTACCCACCAGGTTAGTCCGGAATCATCTAATTATATCGTAAGATATAGGCGCCTTAACCCTCGCATGTGTGCGGCGTTTTCCAGCTTCTAATGTGTAGGGGGGGGGTCGGTTGGACCCCCCCCCCTTGCCGTTTGGCCCCTGATCGAGCTAGAGCTTCGCGGAAAAAACGAGCGTGTTGCCCGTGACGAGAGGAAGCCGATGATACCCAATTTTAAGGTCCTAGGTCATTGGTTGACCTTCCAGGTCAGGTCAATGACCCCAAAGTCGGGAAAATCGGGACCTATTAGAAAGTCGTAAAGTGTGGCTGCTAAGGGGTTTTTCGGGGTGCTGATCACGAATATCGTGTTAGTTTTGATCACAGATGATGTCTTTGAGCATTTAGACCAGGTCGGGTCAGGTCAGGTCAGGTCAACCAGTAGGCGTCGTGACGGGTATTCGTAGTACGTGACAACCGTCTCTGACAGCTTCGTAACATGTTACGAAGGCACCAAAACTACTTCGTAAATGTTCAAATGGTTGCTAAATTCGAATTCAGCTCCAAAAACTAGCCTAGAAACATGTAAAACTCGAAAAAGTGAACCGAGGTCACCCGAGGTCACCAAAGGTCAATGACCTGACCTGACCTTCAGGTGACCTTGACACCCACCCTAATGCATGGGAGCAACATCATATCACATGTTTGAACGTTGGAAACCACGAAAAGCTTGCAAACGCGCGGCTAATGCGAGCCGACGTACGCCGAATCGCGATTCCGGCCAAACATGGTCTCGGAAAAGAGGTCACAGGTCAAAGGTCATTTGGGTCAGGGTCATGAAATTTTCAGGGTAGGTGTAAAATTGATCAATGTGAGGGTACTGAAAGTTTCGTCGCGATCGGCCGCTTTTTACGCGAGTTATTCGCGAAAAACCATGGGGGGGTCCATCCGACCCCCCCTACACATGCGAGGGTTAACCCTCGCCGGCACAGGGGTTTTTCGCGAATAACTCGCGTAAAAAGCGGCCGATCGCGACGAAACTTTCAGTACCCTCGCATTGATCAATTTTACACGTTCCCTGAAAATTTCATGACCCTGACCCCAATGACCTTTGACCTGTGACCTCTTTTCCGTGACCATGTGTGGCCGAAATCGCGATTCGGCGTATGTCGGCTCGCATTAGCCGCGCGTTTGCAAGCTTTTCGTGGTTTCAAACGTTCAAACATGTGATTTGATGTTGCTCCCATACATTAGGGTGGGTGTCAAGGTCACCTGAAGGTCAGGTCAGGTCATTGACCTTTGGTGACCTCGGGTGACCTCGGTTCACTTTTTCGAGTTTTACATGTTTCTAGGCTAGTTTTTGGAGCTGAATTCGAATTTAGCAACCATTTGAACATTTACGAAGTAGTTTTGGTGCCTTCGTAACATGTTTTGAAGCTGTCAGAGGCGGTTGACAGGTATTACGAATACCCGTCACAACCCCTACCGGTTGACCTGACCTGACCTGACCCGACCTGGTCTAAATGCTTAAAAACATCATCTCTGATAAAAACTAACACGATATTCGTGATCAGCACCCCGGAAAACCACATAGCAGCCACACTTTACGACTTTCTAACAGGTCCCGATTTTCCCGGTTTTCGGGTCATTGACCTGACCTGGAAGGTCACCCGATGACCTAGGACCTTAAAATTGGGTATCATCGGCTTTCTCTCGTGACGGGCAACCCGCTCGTTTTTTTCCGCGAAGCTCTAGCTCGATCAGGGGCCAAACGCGAGGGGGGTCGTACCCCCCCCCCCCCCCTGTGCCGTCGAAGGACGCAAAATGGCCTGTGCCGGCGAGGGTTAAGATTTCATTTATAATTCTGGAAGCCTGTTGAGTGAAGTGAGAACATGGTTCCTGGTCGCCATCGGCAGGCGACACTTGTATATATTTGGCCGGTAATTAGTTCCACCGCTCTCCGCCAGGTGGAGGTGCTGGTCGGGAAGGACAAGGGCAAACAGGGCACCGTCAGCCAGGTGATCGAGGAGCGCAACTGGGTGGTGGTCGAGGGCCTCAACGCCCACTACCGGCTGGTGGGTAAGACGGCCCAGTACCCGGGCACCATGATCGCCTCCGAGGCGCCGCTGCTCGTCGACGACCAGGTGGCGCTGCTCGATCCCGCCGACAAGTGAGTGGCGGGACGGGGGGGGGGGGGCCAGGTATCACGTTACTCGTACTAAGTGTCTGCCGCGTCTGACCTGCCACCCCGTTTCCCCACTAATTTATCCGCCATTTCCGTTGTCGGACGTTAGATTTATCCACCTTTCGTGTCGGCGGTAAACGCTCCATCGCATTATGCAGTAACCACCCCGGTCCTCAGTACCCCCCCCGCCCCCGCCGTGTGCTCATTAGCCATCCCTCCGCCCCACAGTAACCGTCGATCTGTGTCCTAACCGCTCCCCCCGCTCCACAGTAAGCCGTCGATCTGTGTCCTAACCGTTCCCCCCTCCCCCCGCCCCACAGTAACCGTCGAGCTGTGTCCCAACAGTTCCCTCCGCTCCACAGTAAGCCGTCGATCTGTGTCCTAACCGTTCCCTCCATTCCACAGCAAGCCGTGCACTATCGAGTGGCGCTACAACGAGTCGGGGGAGCGGGTTCGCGTCTCCACCCGGTCCGGCCGTATCATCCCGACTCCCACCCAGGCCGAGGAGACCTACGACTACAAGACGGCGGCCACCTACCGCGAGAGTGAGCGAGATACCAAGGAGGACGATCTCACCATCATCTCCTTCAAACCCCAGCTGAGCACGTTCGAAATGGATGTGGCAGAGAGTATGGGCATTGAGCTGGGCCCCCCGCCGTCCGAAACTCACTGGTATTAGTTGGTGGGCGATCAGGGACGCTCGGGTTTGTGTGTGTGTGTGCGTGTGAGGGTGCGGATGTGTGGGTGAGGAACTGGTCTCTGTTTGGGCGTGGGTGGTTGTAGTAGTTACTGCTCAGAGTTGGAATCATGTGAGCAATTTTGCCGTTATGATGATGTCTGTGTCACTGATGAATGCAATATAGTGTCGTCTATTTGTAATAACTTCTTTTGCAATTATGTACCTGGGTAGAATGTAGATAAGATAAACATACGCAAGTCGTTTGCAATATTGATACCAATAGCAATGGTATCGATATTAAGCCGTCGAAAAGAAAGATTGTATCATTTTAAAGCATTTTGTTTCTCTTCGTTGCATTGTTTCGGCGTTGCTTTGTGATTATTCGTTGCTTTTTCAGAGGCCTCGTGTCTCGCAAACACGGATGGATGGATGTTGGGCTTTCTCCAATAACACGAATGTTTGACGATATTGGCTCGAAGACATTTATTCCGGTTTCGAAGCGTCCCCTGTATGTATTTGGTCAGCGGTTTCGATTTGTGTCTTTGCATCCACCTCGTCTAAAACACCGTCTGGTTGACTCAGTTTACTCGATAATAAGGCCATGACTGGTGCCGCCACGGCTCACATAGATATAACAAACAATATATTAGTAACCCGAGTGGTGCTGTGGGCGCTCCGCTGCTCTGTCGCTCGCCCTCTGCTCTGTCCCGGCGGCAGGGCCGAGCGGTGCGCTATATCATTGGCACCTAGACGCATAACGGTGCCGACGGCATCGGTCGGCTCCTCTCACTCTCCACTCGCTCACACTCGCTCACCAACTCACTCACCAACTCACTCGCACGCACAGTTCTGGGTACATCCCCGGAGCGCAGTTCAACCATTGTCTAATCGTCCCGCCTCAATATGGCCCGAGCTAGTGGCTCGCCTCAGTCTCTGTATAAGGATTTGGCGGAGTATCCTACCCTGCTGCTGTTGCTGCTGCCTTTCCGTTGCCCCCAGCCTGGCCGACGGGCGGTCACTGCTGGGTGGGCCGGCGCCGCCGCTGTCTGATGGTTCAGGAGGTCTCGGCGGCGCCGCAGAAAGACGTGACTGGCTGGTGGACCGGCTGCGAGGGCTCGCCGTGTCCCGGGCGGTAGCTTGGTGTCACTGCTACCCAGGGTCACTGGCATGAGGTCGTCCACACGGCCGATCTTTGTTGTTCTCCCAGCGCAGGGTTTCGACAGGCTCCATGGCGGAGGGCACGGGGAACCGGTAAAGGCGTCCCTAATTGAGCTCTGTGCGGCCGGCTGCACGAGTAAGCAGCTCACACTGGTCCGCAGTGGCTGGGCGGAGTACTGGACTGACACGCGGCGGTGCACTGGGAGTGTTCTCAGACCGCCCGGCTCAGTTCTGCGGGCGGCTCCGCGCCGGCTGTCCCCGCCCGCTCCCGCTCTGTCCGTCCCCCGCCCTCTGCTCCGCCGGTGGGGCGGAGCGGCATCACAGTTCGAATTGAGCACCGGCGCCGCGCCGAGTGGCCGCCGCACTAGCTGTTTATGTGTTTATCGATCCAGTCCCTGTAATAGGGCATCCTCATGTAGATGCCGGGCAGGTTGGGCTTGGCGCACTCGATGCCGTGCGAGACGGTTCCGGCGAGCACCCAGCGGCCGTCCCCTCGGGGCACCACCAGCGGCCCGCCAGAGTCGCCCTGGAACGCAGAGAGACTCAGGCGTCAGAGGTGGCACAGGCCAGGACGTCAGAGGGGAAACAGATCGGCACAGGGACACAGATGGACACACGGTTTGACGCGAATAATACTGGTCCTGAGGTCCTGTGATGAGAAATCGCTTACCAAACCTTACCCACCCCAGCTCTTGATGCATCAGCAGTCCAGACCAGTGCAGTGCCCAGTATCACAGTGACCCGATACCAATACCCAGCACCCACGTCCCGCGCCCCCACCACACTCACCTCGCACGAGTCCATGACGCCGTCTTTGAAGCCGGCGCAGAGGAATCCCTCGCGGATGGTTTTCGAGCGTCCCGACTCGTCGAACCACGCCTGGCACTGCTCGTTGGTGATGACTCTCACTCCGACCTCCATCAGCTTGGAGGGCACGTCGCCGCCTGCCGACAGACGCCACTCGTCACCTCACCATGTTTGGGGTCAGCAGGTGGACGGCTAATGCGCCCTAAATGTTTCCACGGCGTGACGCTTGTGCTATTCACAGCAAATCATTTCCGCGCGATTACACTCCCTAGATATTCGTCCGCAAAAGTTGGCCGTGGACGTTATTGCGCTGGGAGGCTAAGCTCCGCAGCGTGGTTATTAAAGCCTCGATTGGCTTTCTCTGTGACCTTAATCCTGGCCTGCGCTGACCGAGGGCAGCGACCGTACTATCATAGGTATACCCGTCCCCAGCCGACGTACCGTAGGAGGTGCGTCCCCAGCCGGTGACGGTGGCCATGCGGCCCTCGAAGCGTTCGTTCTTGCCCGGCAGGCAGATGGGCACCACGTGCTCGTCGAAGGTGACGGGCTTCTCGAGCTCGAGCAGCGCCAGGTCGTTGTTGAACGTCTGCCGGTTGAAGCCCTTGTGGACGATGATGCGGCGAATGTTGCGCTGGAACGACGCCTTGGGCTCGTACGTGGCGCTGAGGTCGTTCTCGCCAAATACGGCGATCAGTGTGCCCATGAACCTGTGGAAGCGCAGGGAGGTCGGTGAGACGGCGTCAGTGGGGGCGGAGGGAAGCTAGCACCGAGATGCATTACCCCAGCTCGTTACCCAGGTGGTTGGAGGTGGTGGTCTAACATACTTTGCGAATGGTGCAGTGCTGAAGAGGGCTGCAGTGACGGTGCATCTAGTGCATGGCTTACACACTGTCTGAGTGTCATTTGGTGCACACCGCCCTGTCTGCTTCGCTGTTAGCCCGAGGCCCGGGAGCGTGTTTGCGGTGAAACGGGGCGCAGCTGCTGCAGCGGAAGTCCAACCCTTTCACTCTCGTCTGTTTCACGCCACTCTCCCTCTGATTCCCGATCCCGATTTCTCACAATTAGGTACTGCCTGACAATCAGTCGGTAAATAAAACTATCAGCTCTAGCTTCCTCTATTTACCATGCTTCCGGTTTGCACCACTGAATCCACTGCACGCTGACGGCAGAAGGCACTGAGTCACATCCTAGATTCTGTGATATCAGACGACCCAACTCCGTCCTGCGGCTCACTCACCCTGGCTGACAGTGGGCCGCCGTCAGCACATAGCGGCTGTTGAGCAGCACGCCGCCGCACTTGTTCTTGGTGAAGAGGCCGAGGAAGGTGGCCTCCTTGACCATCACCTGCCACGGCCAGGCGCCGAAGTAGGCCGGCTCGCCGCCCACGATCCGGATCCCCTGCCGGCGCCGGTCGGCCGAGCTGACCGGCTGCAGACTGCGCCCCAGCGCGCTGCGCCCGGACGCCAGCGGAATCACTCCGCAGTCTGGGGGAGGGGAGGGGGAGGTCAGATCAGGGTGCTGCGCCCGGACGCCAGCGGAATCACTCCGCAGTCTGGAGGAGGGGAGGTCAGGTCAGGTCACAGGGCAGGGTCAGGTCAGGTCACTGCGGCGGACGCCAGGGGGATCACTCTGCAGTCTGAGGGAGGGGAGCAGTCGGGTCAGATGGCTCAGGTGGTCGGCGGCGCGAGACCGACGGGCTACTGAGGTCCGACGGGCTCAGGTGCTGAGGGGTAAACGGTGCATGGGAAGCGAGTGATCATCAAGCTGCAGTTTAAGACAAACATATTGACTTATCGTAAAACCTTTCTAGCCGTACGTTCGACCGTGCACTCATCCATTCCACTAGTTTCCGAGAGTTCCGAGTCCTATTCGACTCGAGTCCCGTTTACTCACGTTTCTTGTAATCCCACTTCTTCGTCGGTTTCTTTGTCGTTGTAGTCGTGGTTGTGGTGGTTGTCGTTGTGGTGGTAGTCCTCTTCGTCGTTGGTTTCTTGGTAGTTGTCGTAGCCTTTGTTGTTGTGGTGGTCGTGGTCGTTGTTGTTGTGGTTGTTGTCGTTTTCCTTGTTGTCGCCTTTGTGGTGGTGGTGGCCGGGGTGGTGGCCGGGGTCCGGTTCGCCACGCCGGCGGACGTCACCGAGGACCACGTGACCAGGCCGGCCGGGTCGGGCAGCGGCCGGGCGGTGGTCGCCGAGGCCGCCACCGCCTGCGCCACCGCCGACTGGTTCGGGTCCAGCTTACAGCAGGCGCCGAACATGAACCGGTCGATACACGTGTTGATCACCAGACCCTTCTGCTGGTAGCACTTGAAGTTGAACATGCACGTGCCGTTCTCTCCTTTTGCGTTGGAGCATGGCAGTGGCCGGATCTCGAAGGTCTGTGATGCCGATGCTATCCTCCGCTGGTGCTGGGCTGTGAACAGACGGAGCGGGGTGTCATAAGCAGGTGGCGCTGCCAGGAACACCGACCACAGGTGGCGCCGGCTGTATGAATTAGACCACCGAAAAAGCTAGAAATGGCACTGTAGCTACAGGTGACGAGTGACGACACAAGCAGAACGGTCAATGTGAGCAATTTTCGTCCGCAATTTCGTTCATCTGTCGCGTAGGGCAAACATTCGTTAACTCTAATTGAATTCGCTGACGTCTATTCTGCGTTCCTTTTGCTCAAAGTCGAGGCTGGTGTTGGATATAGGGTAGCCTGGGGCAAGACGCCCCAGATAATTTATTTTGCTACATAAATTTTGTCACACATCACCTGGAAGGCCAAATTTGTGCTCAATACGTTCTTTGGACATTTTACTTTAAATTGCACCCCTCAAATTCATTCACTTATGATCGGACTCCAAGCTAGGAAGTGATTTGTGAAGCAACTGCAAATGGGGCATTTTCCCCCTACCCCAGGGCAAAACGCCCCACGGCCTGGGGCAAGTAGCCCCATACTTAAGATTAAAGATTTAACATGGTAGTTGGCTAAATCTTATGTGAGAGGTCCGTTAGATCTCTGGAGGCACGGCACTGAAGTTAGCACATTCCATCCTGTCAGGTGTTCAGCTATGACACTATTGTATGAGCAGGTTTTTCACCTACCTCATAAGACCAAATAATAAATTATTGCAATGCAAATGTTAACAAAATACTTCCTTTGCCATCCAGTTGCTGAGAAAAATACACATAAAGGCATAGAAACTTACTGTTCGCCAGCTACCGAACATTAGAAAGTGGGTAGCCCGAACAACACATGAGGTAAAACGCCCCAGGGGCTTTTTGCCCCGCGACCTACTGGGGCGTTTTACCCCATCACGTAGTTCGGTCAGAGAACAACGCCTTGCACTCCAGCAAGACATAATTTAACACGAACCAACCCGGCATGATAAGCGTTAGACAATAGTTGTTCAAAACACATAAAAGTCGTTAACCTGATGTGGACCATAAAAGAACGCCATGATACATTTTCTGACAACAAAACATAAAAATCACTTAAAAAACACATTTTTGGCTATATCTCCCGAAAGAGTCATCACAATTTCTTTCCAGTCTGCTCATATGATCATATAGTGCACGTTTTACAGAAGAGAGGATGTTTCCCCAGAACTCTGCCAGTTCCGAGAAACATCGGTGAGGCGTTTTACCTCGGCGGGGCGACTTGCCCCGGTCTACCCTAAGACAATACGGAGAGGATGGATGACAATATCGAGGAGTGCATCCCATAAGCCGGCAGTGACAGTTATTGCCATTACGTTTCCCTACTCTGGTGCCGGGGGCGGTTGGTGACGGCGTCACTCGTGTCGGCGTCACGCTACCACCACACCCACCCCGCCCGCCCAGACCACCTGGCCGATCGGGCAGCGCCGCCGGCCACTGTCGAAAGCGAGACGGACACCGTGATTACCCGGCACCCATTGCCGGCATGGCCACTTTCAGCGCGCTGCCCGTGCACCCGCTCGCCGGAGTCGACGGCGGCGCGGCGACCGACCCGGCGGGCGCCGCGGGACACCCCAGCCCGCGGCACCAGGCCCGCGGCTTTCTCTCGGCGTCCGCAGTCATTGGTGCTGACGGATCGGTCACCGGCAGGCGCCTTCAGACGTGCTATATTCCGCAAGTGCTTTGCAGTGCAGCGTCGCCAAGCATTGGCATTAAAAAGGGATTAAACACAAATGCATGTTTATTTCCCTGGCCATCGATTTAACCCCTTCTCTTCCTGGGTTCCCGCACGGGGTCTGTTCAGGACCATACGTTTACCGCCTAATGACCGGTTCGTTAGCCCTGCGGACAATATCACGTGACCGACCGCTTTGGCCAATCAGAACCCGCCCAGTCCCTGTCGGAAAGCTCGAAGCATTGGGATGCGGGCTGGTCGGGATGCGGATTGCGGACCCGGCAAAGTCACCAAACGCTGTTCCGGTTCAGTGGAGTTGGAGTGTGTTGAATAAGTGTTCTCGATGATTGGCAACGCTCCGGGCTGCTTCGGTAAACTAATTTTGAAAAATCGCCACTAAGCCCGACGAAAGCACTCTCAAGGCACCCTGGACTTCGCTTCGAAGACTGAGGACAAGAATGTCGGTGCTTGGAGGTATGTCAGGGTTTTTCAAGTCAAGGATTAAAATACCTGCGCATTTTAGGCAATTCTGGTATATTACCGGTCGGCGTAAAATGATGGTGCGTCCGTAATGCTGCTGCCCTGTAGATATATTAGACTCAGAAGGTGTATGATAACCATGAGACGCAAGCATTAGGTAATCAGAGTCATCAGCGAAGCACAATAGATAAGTGCCCGATTGAGAGGCTGGGAGATGTAAACAGCTGGTTTCCGGACCTGCCGCTGTTAACGAGCCACCGCCAGTGGGCAGACAACGCTGCCCTCCTAATTGGCCGTCACTTTCCCTGAGTTGGGACAGCGCGCGCAGTCTGCCAGAGGTTCCTGATGGGAGCGCCGATAGGGCGGCGATCGGGGACAATCGGCCCGGTCGCCGGTACCGCTGACCCGGTATGTTTCTGATACCGAGTACCGCCGGCCGATCGGAGGGGCTCTAGAGAGCGAGAGGGAGAGGGGCACCTCTCACAGACAGTTCTCTCTCCCCTGCATCCCAGGCTGTGTCCTAGACGGCGGAACCATGCGTCAGCGAACGAATGGTGACAGGAAATGACAATGTCGTCAGACTTCATTTCCCATATACAGTCATACTTTCACGTTGCAGAGCTGTATGCAATTGCACATTGTACCGGGCTGGTTCGTAGCGTGCGTGCTTCTGCATCCGTGCTGCACAGTTATAGTTGCATGCACTCGCACACATCTGCATGTGGCTCGGTACAATGCACCATGCAGGCGTTTTGCCAGGCGTGGATATACTGTCCTGTTACAGTCACTGAGACTCATTGCTTACTGGTTACCATTGCTATGTCAGCCACAAGCCCAGTTATCGCCACGGTTTTCAGCTTTAGGCTTTGGCACTTCTCATGTCTAAATTCACTTTGGCTGTATGTACCCACGCAGTTTCCAGCATTTGCGCTATATTCATGTGCAGTATTGCATTTCGTTGGTGATATCCTGTTTGTGTATAACGCAGTCTCCATATATTCGTGCTACAGTCCTGTGCTCTATTGCATTCTTCGGTGTTTGGTGATATCCTGTTGTGTTTTGCCCTATAACAGACTCCAGTTATCCGTTCTTCTGTGGCAGTGGTGATACCCTGTTATGCCCTGCTGCAGTCTGCAGTTACCCGTGCTAGGTATATAGTGATTAATGGTGATACCCTGCTGTGCCCTGTTGCAGTCTCCAGCTTCCCGTGGTTGTGTTAGTGGTGGTATTCTGTTGTGCCCCATTGCAGTCTCCATGTACCTACCCTTGCTAGTGTTAGTGGTGTTACTCTGTTGTGCCCCTACTGCAGTCTCCAAGAACCCTTGCTCGTGTTAGTGGTGCTACCCTGTTTTGCCCTACTGCATCCTCCAGGTATCCTTGCTATAGCGGTCAGTGGTGATACTCTGTTGTTCCCTACTGCAGTCTTCAGCTAGCCTTGCTTTAGTTAGGGATTAGTGGTGATACTCTGCTGTGCTCTGTCGCAGTCTCCAGCTCCCCGGCTTCAGTGTTTTGGTGGCACACTGTTGTGCTCTGATGCAGACCTCAGCCATTCATGTTTCAATGGCGAACAGTACTACGACCTCTCAACTCTGCGAATTGTCGAAACATCTATGTACTCACGGAAGAGCAGCCGACCCACGGATTAAGGGTCTTCATTCGATAGCGATTAGTTCATTCTCCACGGGACCGGAGATGACCTGGTGACCCGAGTCCGTCTCTGGTCCGAGGCCCGTTCCACCACCGCGATCCTCACAGAGATCACGCCATCCACCGTTCACCGAATCATCATCATTAGCCGACGTCATCGAGTGACGTCACCCGTGTCCAATCAGCGCGCCGTCCCGATGACCCGCATTCGCCGCGAATGGACTCTCGGCGGGTGAGCCCTGCGGCTGTGCTCCGGTGCAGGTGATTACGGCTTCCGTTGCACTCACGCACCGGCCTCGACTGTTACACGCCCGGTGAACCCACCGCCGCCGCCGCCGCCGCCGCCGCCCACCGCAGGGCCGTGTGGGCGGCACAGTTTCGGCGGCGGCCGACCGCACATCCCGGCGGCGGTGGCGGCGCGCGTGCGACGGGTGGCGCGCGCGCGCGCGCCTCTCAGAGGTGCCGACACGCTCCAGCTCCTGTCGCTGGCCCCGATGCCGGTGGACACTGGCGACTCTCGGCGGTGAGAGGCACCGGGTGAGCTGGGTGGGCCGCCGCGGTCAGCCGGGCGAACAGAACACAGCACGAGCGACGACAGCGGCCGGCCAGCTGACAGAGGGAAAACGAAAGAGTTGACGGCATGGGACCGAGGGAAGGTGATTGATCACGGGAATGGCATTTTGCGAAGAAAGTTGGCATAGTCAGTGGCCACATGAATACGCTTTTACATTCATTCGATTTCAGTTATTTGTGTTCAAGTAATGCTGTGGCGACCTCATTGTCAGCAACTGGCAATATGGTTCGTTTCGAAAACCTTTTCCCCCATCTTTGAGCCTCCTTGACAGCCTCTCACCCTATTCAGCCGCATCATTTGATGTTGGCATATCGATCAGACGATGATAACAAAGCCTATGCCACCTACTAACAAGTCGGTCGACCGTAGCCGAATGTTCGACCGACCGCGGCCTCGAGCGAGGCCGTCTCATCGGACGTTATTCGTCCGTTAATTCGAAGAAGAATACTGGCCTATCGGTTGGTTCCATTCTGACGGGATTTTGGTGTCGAAAAGCCGTCAGCATTAGACAAGAGCCGGTCCTTACTAAGAAAGTATGGAGCCCGGCATGCGACAATGCCCGCATGATGCATATTGCGTAGCGTCTCAAGGCAATGCATCCATTTCGTTGTGA